AGGGTCCTTCAGCAAGACTTAACAATTGTAGGTTAATCTCACTCTCATAACCACTACATAAACTTAATTTTCGTGAAAGGAACACAAACCAGAGAGACAGAAGTAAGGATCGACAATTTAAGACATGGCATCTTTTTACTACTTGTGTAACTCTAACTGCAAAGAGAGAACTGTCTGTATAAAATGTCAGAATGTAACAAAGTGAATGCAACCTGCACAGAAAAAGACATAGCAGCAGAAAATATTGAAAAGGCAGTTGCAATAGCAATTAAGTTTAATGAGAACTGCTAACAACACTGTCAGTAACTGAAAAGTTCTCAATGGCAGACTAGCAAGTGGAAGCACCTGTGTAAAACAGCTGTAGAATAAATCCAAACAGGAAATGCAGGTGTTTGATCCTATTTGATTTTGGGGACATATGCTGGGAAATTATAATGTGGATGGATGGCAAAACACCATCAAAATTTTATTATCCTAAAAATTTGCCTTGGCATTTTTACTGGGAAAGAAATTTTAGGAAAAATTATAGCCAACACTAACTTCTTACAATGGATGTTTTGTTTGGGTACTGGCAGAAAGATAAAAAAAAAAAAGTATTTCATACCTGTGCCCTTTTGACACACTGTTTGGAAAGCTTTGCTTTACCTGGCCTTGAAATATTGCACAGAAAGATATAGTACATTTTCATGAACGCTGAGGGTACACCAGTGATGTTCCCATTCAGGGATGACAAAAGTAGACCATTCTCAGAGATCTTGGAAAGGCTGGGTGATGCTGATTTAAACATTGGTTGACAGAAATGGAAGTTGAATGCTACAAGCTGAGCAGGAGATACTAGATCTAGGAGAAATATTCATTTATTATTGATTACTAATTTATCTGCAGAAAAAGAAATTAAACAAAGTTACATCGATATGATCCTGGGTTTTGAAAATCTTGTGTCCAGTCTGGCTGCTGAAACAATCTTCAGAGCTGTATGGTAGAAAAATATAAGCAGGACACAAGAGGCTAGTTACAACAGTTTGAATATCTCAGGGATCAGAGAAAGCAGACAGCTGTGCCAAGAGTCTCTGGTAACACCAGGCAAAACTGCCAAATGATACTTCCAAGCAAGTCCATAAGTCAAGACTTCTTCAGAAGTAGATCAATGACTAAAGATCTGTAGCTTATGCTCTCAGCACCTCAACTAAAAGTGAATGGCAATACAACCAAACCAAAAAAGGGCCAAGCACCAGTATGAAGAGCATCCTGTTTCTGCCTATGAGATACACATTGGCACACAGACAGATGCAAACCATGACTTGCAGTGAGAGGTCAGCAAGCACTTCTACTTTCAGTTGCAGTTGTAGGAGTGACAACCGGAATACAAGACTTCAGCAGTATCCAGCATTCTGTCTGCAGTTTTTGCCACAACTGAAATTAAGCTCAGATCCTGGCATTTTAGCAGCAATTGTGGTGAGGAAAACTTTACTTTTCTTGAAAGGCATGGGTCACTGTCCTACATAGTGAGCCCATGTGTATAGAGTGGAGAGGTTTCAGAGTTTCTAATGCAAGGCCTCCATTTTGAACTGGCCTTTGGCCGGTTATCTCTGAACTTGACTGGAGAGAAACTGGTCATTGACAAGTTGTCCTCCTTTACTCCATATCCGGTGTCTAGCAGTTTTGTAGGAAATAAAATTGGTGTTGTGAAAAGAATGATTTAGAAGCTGAAAAAAAATCAAACTTAAGTCCTTATTTGGCTGCACTGATTATGTGACCACACTCTTCAACTTTTAGCTATCATGTGCAGAAATATCATTGGTAACACAGGACTACCAACAGAGTCAAAGTTTCCTGACTCTAGCAATACCCCCAAAATTAAAAATATCAGCAGTATACTTATAAACATTGTGAGGTTCTTAAATAGAAAATGTTGTAAGACACTGAGTCAAATACTCATGAAGTGGGAAGTGTACTAATGCTGTGTAATGAACACTTCAAGGTCAGGCATGCTTTCTCCTTATATATGGACAGTTAGGTACCTTTGGCACCTATTTGGCACCTAAACCATCTTCTCATTTCTTTGTTCTGGTGGTTAACTTCTATTTCAGTGCAAAGCTGGTGTGGCACTGCAGGAAGGAATTTTTCTAAATAACCTTGTTACTTTGGTGACAGCTATTACCCCTGCTTATAAATCTTGTATTCCATATGAAAACATTTTGCAAGGTCTTGTCCTTAGCAACAGGTGTGTGCATGTGAAGAGTGCTTCAGAAAGATTTATCTACATAAACTTTATTTTCAAAGACAGGCAGTTGAACTGTAGAAAGACAGAAATAAGAAACACAAATTTAATGAAGTTACAGACTCTTGAATAATTCTAACTGAAAAGAATAAACTTGCAAGAACCATCTGAAATATGAACACTGAAGCATAATTCAGAGTTCGTTCTGTCTCTTCAAGGGCTTAAAAATAAAGATAAGGATTGCTACTTTAAGTAGAAAATTAATTAGAAAAAAGTAGGATTTCTTCTTTAAGAAAGAAGACTTTCTACTTAAAGTTTCCCAAAATAGATTTGGGAAAGTTTTTTTATCAGAGATTATTACAATAAAATGACAAGAAATTACAGAAATAATAAAGCAAAGCAGGACTATTTATCTGGAAGTTGTCAAATACTAACCCCTTGCCATTCTTTCCAGATTGATTCCCGTTATTTGTGATTCAGATGGATTTGAACTACACTTGAAACAAATTTATAGAAATGTTGCTAACTAGAAGAAAGAGTGAAAACAGGGCTAGGCCTAACTTTCTAAAAGTCATGATTGTTTATGCTGTGTTGGTTTTGCACAGTGCTGGAAACTTTACATTTGAGGGATGTTTCTAGAAATGCATAAAGGGGAAGAAATGGCTGGGTTTTGTGCTCCATAACTTGTGTGCTATTTGCTAGAATTAAAAGAGTGGAGTTTTTGTGGGAAAATTACAGTTGGGAACTCAGGTTTGCACAGATGATTTGGGGCTGTGAGGCCCATTTGTGCAGACTCTTGCCTGGAGCAAGGTTCCAATGAGGGCTGTCCAGGGTTGAAAACAATATGCTGTTGGAAGGACAGTGGGATATAGCTCATACTTTACATGTTACTTTTGTTTGCATTGTATGAAAGCAATATGCTGTGGGAAGGGCAGTGGGATATAGCTCATACTTTACATGTTACTTTTGTTTGCATCGTACATTAAAAATATGATGAGCTTGTTTTATGTGTGAGCAGGAGGCCCCACCTTCACGACAGTACTACTGCACACTACTTCAGGTGACTATCATTTGTTGTCAGCAAAAATAAAAATGACCTGATTGGCAGAGGAACCTGTGAGGTGGTAAATGGTATCTGGTTTTCTGTCTTTTGACTAAAATATGCTCTTGCCTTTAAATAAAGAACACAAAACCTGCAAGGCGTTTTCTGAAATACGCTGATAAATTATCTCATGAAAACAGGGTAGCTTGTCAACTTATTATACTATGCAAAAGAGAGAAGGAATAAGAAATAACAAACAACAATCAATGGAACAAGTTATACTCACTAGATAGAATACTCTAGTACTCTACTCAATTAAGTTCATGTCACATCCAATCTTACCATTTATTCTGCTTGCAGGAAATGAGAACATACTAATGGGATGTATCTACATCTGTGCAAGCTAGCAATTACCTTGGCTATTAGTAGACACATAGAGTATACACTGAATGTTCTTTTCTTGCACTGTAGTTCCATAAGACATCCAAAAAACATTACAAAAAAACATTCCAGGTTAAGTACAAAAAATACAAATCCTAAGATTTCTATTTTATTTTTGGGCCATAGGTCAGCAAGCTTCTATTAACTGTTACAGTATTACACTTTTTAAAGTAAAATTAAGGACTGAACTACTTTGAGTTGTTGGATTACTGAGTAAAAGGATAAACAGTTCATATGAATACCATATCATGCCTTGTTGCATTTTCTCAGATGATGTCAAAAAAACCCATCCTCCTTTCCCAGCTCCTCTGCAGCCTACCCAGGCCATCTCGGGGGGTGTCTGCCTGCAGGCTAATTGTTCGGGAACAACTCTCAAACCAGAGTTTATTTCAGTACCTTATGAAGGAATCCAGGTAGAAAGGGTGGTGTGTATTTCATAAGAGACATCTCCCCCTGTATCGAAGAGGAAGTGTGAAATAACCTTGAATGGCCAGGATACAATGTATCAAAACATCTGCTTCAAGAAACTAGCACAGTACAGGGTACGCAGGTCAGGTGGATGCTATAAAACTGTTGTCAGTAGTATGTCCCAGAACACTGAAATGGTTTGTCTGGATTTATGCACTGTATGCTTCCATACAAATTGTGGCTTTTAGAGGATTTTTGTTGGCTTAAACTGATGTTGGATGCAGTTGAGGTCCCCCCAGTCTTTAAATGGACACAAGATTTGGACTCTCCTGTATAATGTTATATAACAATTCTTACTTGAGCCTTAAAGCAAATCTCTAAGGACATGTAATGTACAACTAGCATCAAACAATCTGGGGCAGTAGCCAAGTAGGAAAGAAACTCAGAAAAATACAATAACCACTTGGTTTGCAACCCAGGCTTTCAAGCAAATTAATTTACTTTTAGAGAGTGCCCCTGTCTCAGTGCTCTTGTCAGCCTTTTGAAATAGATGGTTGTTAGTTGAAATATGTTTCAGTTTCAGATTAAGGCTGTCTAGTCAGATGGCAAGCTGTTCCCAAGACAGAAGAGCTCTGTCTTCAGTGTCTGCTGCTGTTTTCCTACTAAGGTAATCCTCAGAGCCTCCATATGGGTAAACTCCCACCAAAGGAGGGCTGTTCCTTTATCCATTGACAGTACCATCTCTTAGGCAACTGTCTGTATATCATATTTTAATTACATAATATTTAATGATTTATGTTAGATTGTTGACAATTTCTTCATTGTATCACCATATTTGAATTTTGGAGGCAAAGTCCTTGAGGAAGAATAAATTAGTAGTCTTATGTCTTTATTATATCAGGATTTTATTAGCTGCAGTAAAAACAAAAAAGTCTAGTTTTGTAAAATGACTGCCATTTAAACATCAACTTTCTGAAATTACAGTATCACACATAACAAGCTATAGTGTCAATTCAGTAAGTAATCCAGAGGCATCTATGTAAAGATTTCTGGTTACTGGTGTTCTTTAAACATCAAACTGCTGTGAGTACCAGACTCCTGTTTCCCTTGTGTATTATGGGATGCTCCTCCCACAGCTGTGGAAGCCTGTTTACTCCATCACTTTCGGTTAGTGGAGAACATATTCAGGCTGTGATAATGAACCCACTCAGTAAAAGTGATCCTGAGAGAAATTCTTCGGTCAGTTTTACAGATATTAAGTGTAAAGACTGAGATGATTTTTATATTTAATTAAACAGAAGCAAAATAGAAAGCATAACAAACAATCCACCCTCCAAATACTGAGCTGAAGTTTTGTAATTTAAGAGCAGCAAGAATAGTTTCTCATTGCTGCTGTTTGTTTTCATATAGTGCTTCTATTGGTGTTTTTCAGCCTTTAAGGATCTTAGAAGCATGTTTACATTCCCTTTTCCTCTTGATGTTTCATTTACAACTGGTGTATTTGCAGAGAAAGTATCCCTTTACTAACCAGAAAGCAAAGTTTTAATCTGAGAAACTTCATCTGGGTTTTCTTGAATGCACAGGGTTTGCTCAGTAGTCGTCCCTAAGAGAAGGTCTGGCAGCACATTTGGTAAGCTTTAGACTTTCATACTGTCTGCATAGAATAATGTTCCTCCTCCTTTTCATGGTCTCTGAAGCGCTGCATCTTTGTTTGAATACATTCCCTTTTTCTTCTCCTGTGAGATAACTCACACTGCTCTAGTTCCTTTTCTTCTCTTTTCCTCAGCAAAACTGTTTCAAGTGGCACAGTTTGCTGTTAAACAAAAAGGATCCAACAGGTGACAAGTAATGTCTACGCTCACAGCCAACTATCCCTTAATTTATAATTTATTTTCTTTCCAAAGAGAATTATCTAGGTTGGACAGTGTAGGAGAAAAACAAAAACCTGCTTTAGATCAAGACTGTTCTTCTTGTCTACAAGGAGTTTCTGGTGCTCTGTGCAATAGACCCACATCTCCCAGTCGGTAGGCAAATATACTGCAGCAAATACTACCAAGATCTTAAAAAGGACCCATCATGCTTGATATCAATACAAACAAGAGCTCATTACCTTACTGAGTTGGAGTTTTTAAAATAAGATCCAAAATTATAGCCTTTGCTAAACCATAGATTAACTAAATATAACATCATTTAAAACAGGTCTGGGCTGGGATCCTGTGGTTTGAGTACTTTCACATCTGGGGTAAATCTGAATGTATAGATTAATTTAATTTCTCACCCCCACTTCAGTTGTGATGATTCTGTGCACTGTAGAAAGAGACACAGCTGTATCGAAGAGATATAGATTCTGATGTGCCACTATGTTTATTTAGGATGCATTAATTAAAGGTGTTATTTCACAGCATTTCAGCACAGTTTAATACAATTTCATTAAATGGTTCTCAGAATTAAACCTGAATAAACATACAGTTTAAACATACATATTAAAATAATGCCCTTCATTAGGGCATGGTGCAATTAGAGATGTAATTTAAAGATGAAGAGCAGAGATATTCCTCTCACTGTATGAAGAAGTGCTTTCCCATTTGAAATCTTACATAAAAACTACATTTAGGAAGATCTGCTATTCTCAGAGGGTTTAATTAAAACCTGCAGAAAATAACAGAATGTAACAGAACAAATGTAGACTGCACAGAGCCAGAGTTTCCTGACTTTATCAATAGCCCAAATATAAAAAAAACCCCGAACTTTAAGTCTTTATAAACATTGTAAGGTTCTCAAATAGAAAACATTTTATGATGGGGCTCAAATATTCGCAGATTTTGAGAAGTGTACTAATGCTGTGTAATGAACACTTCAAGGTGAGGCATGCTTTCTATTTATATGTGAAGAGTTAAGTACCTTTGCCATACTTTCTAATTTCTTTGTCTTGGTGGTTAACTTCCATTTCAGTGCAGAAGCTTTGCCGGAGTTCTCTTTAAGTTCAGTGGGACTTATTCTGTTGAGAAGGACTCTTACATCCTTAACAATACCAAATTTCCTTCTTAGTTCATTGTCTTTTTCCTGAAGTGCTTCTTTCCCATTTCTTTTTCGCAAGCCCTCTTCAGATAGGAATGCAGTCTTGCTGAGGAACTGAAACAAGAAAAAGTAGAAACTGACTATCTGAAAGTGAGTGTTGGATAGTCACTTTCCTCCCTCCCCAGTTTATCTTCACACATTGTTTCTACAGCCTTCCCTACTTCAGGGATATGGCTTTTCATGAAGAATTTAATTCAGAAGGGAGCTTGCAAGCCAGCCCTTCTCTCTTCTTTCACTGTTACTTTAAAAGGTGATTATGATGGCACTCAGCACCTGTTTCAGAAACCCCACCTTCTCCCTTGGGAAGTTTTTTGACATTATGCTAAATTCAGCCCTGTTTTTCTCTAAATTGCAAGAGGCTGCTCCCATTGAGCACAGTGCTTTTGTCCTGTTCAAATACTGAAAAAATCTTGATATATGTCAAGATGGATTTTTTTTCTCAGCATTGTTTAATTATACTTTTTTAACTGTAAAGTCTTGATGACCTGCAAGGTCTACTTTGATTTATCTACAGTGACTATGTCCACTGGAGTTGCTTGGCTTCTCCAAAAAATTGAAATCAAAACCGTTTCACTTATCTTACACAGCACTCAACCTGTTATAAATATGCTGAATAATGCACTTTATATTCATCTATATCCAAGGGGAAAATTACTGTCCATACACAGACATTCAACTGATCATCATATATTACTACCTGTTGCTTTTTCCCAGTAGAAGGTGAGCACTGCTTGGGCTGAGAGATGGTATTCATACTGTATGAAGAGAAATGTGTTGCATTTGAAGTTTTATTTTGGTTTTGGGGGGTAGCAAAGGTTGTAAGACATCTTTCTTTCTGTTTTATATCATATTGTCCTGACAGCAGCGAGTGTGGAACTTCAGTCGTTACGTCACGGATAACACTGCATGTAATGAGCCAAGCTGTGGTCTTCCTAAGCAACATATCACAGCCATGTACTTCCATTTCTGCTGGCAGAGCTTCATGCCTCATTGCATACAGAAGGTGGACTTTCCCATTACATATCACTAGAGCATTTCCCTTAAAGAGAGGAATTTCCAGTTGCTCTTCAGTAGGACATTCGGACAAAGGTGGTACAATATAAGTATTCTTATTCTTATTTTTGGTATTGGTCAGTGATTTTAAAATTTCTGAAACAACACTGCTAGATGACTTTACAAGAAGAGGATATGATCTTCCTGTACTTCCATCTAGCTCTTCTTGTGCAAGCTGATTGACTGGGGTTATACGGGAACATATCACATCTTCAATCATTACATCAGGACTAGAACAGTGTCTTGTTAAGGTTGGACTCATTGGTATTAAGTACTTTGGAAAATTGTTCCAAATAGGGCTGGAAGCATCTTTCATCCTTATTACTGGCCATACATAAGTTACAGCTGGCATTTCTGTAGCTTGCCTTAGCTCAAAGATATTTTTAGCTCTGGCTGACATTAGTTCCTGCAGTTTAGGTGGGAAAGAAGAAAGAGGTATTGTTGCTATTCTGGCTTGAGGTGGTATCTCTACATCATGTTTTAAAATCTGTGCTCGAGGTTCTTCCATAACCTTAAAAAGTTCAGAGATTCCTGAAACCGATGCTGTGTCTTCTTGGCCAACATGAGTTAGTGAGAGGCATCTTTGCAGAGGGTGATTTTCAACTGAGGCTTCATTACTGTGAGCATGAAGAGCTGTTGAGAAATTCCCTCTCTCAGCAGAGGTCATGCCAGCATTTTCCAGCATGTCAAAACTTCTGGTAGAAAAATCTCCTCCACTCTCCAATTGCTGATACTTTAGCATCAAAGATGTAGTATTTGGCTTCTGTCTTCAGAAAAGCATTACGGTTTGACTTAAACTATTTTGTTTAGACAGACAAGCTACTGTGATCAGGCAGTTGCATGTGTCGGCAAGGCTTCCAGAAGAAAGAGTGCAGTAGGAGTTTCAGTAGGTCTCACCTATATTTATCTCTTTCCCAACGGGCTTCATTCAAGCAGCCTGGCACACTTAAAATAAAAGCTGATATAAATTAAAATGTGATTATACACTTGTAAATGCACAGAGCGATTTTTTTTTTCCCCAAGTTAACTTTATTTAACTCAGAATAAATAAATTAAAAGACAGTAATATATTTGTGATTTAACATTAACTAAAGCTCATCTAGCCATAAGGATTTTTCTGCAGTAATGATTTGTTGTGAGATACTTCCATTCTTGAATTAAATTGGAGTAAGTTTCTGCTTGCTTCAATAGGAATTTGCCCAACAGTACAAACTGATGATTTTGTGCTATCAGCACAGGATCTACTTTGTTTAGATGTACTACTCCCTCACGTAAGAAGCTGCAAATGTACAAATAAATCAAGCTTAGATACTTATCCAACACTTATCAAAACCTGCTAAGCACAAGTTTAATTGTAAAATGCTAAAGAACTAGAAGTAAGTAGTTGAATTTACAGTAAAAGGAAAGACAAAATTTAAATTTGTATGATGAGAAAGGCAAAGACTCTGAGATGGATTAAAAACAAATTAATTTTTAATTAAGTGATCCTATTCCAATGGTTATGTTCTCCCAGGAATAACCTACTTACTTTAGACTTGATTTTATAGAAAGAAAACATAAACACATTACTTGCATGTCAATCACACAACTCTAAGGTGTTTCTTAGCCTCCCTCAATACGCAAAACCACAAATATAAAATAAATATCAAAAACCTGAGTATCAAAACCAAATTTTTGCCTCTGTAACTAAAGAGGTTCTACTATTTAACTTACAAAAAGAAATGTAATATAGATGAGTTCAGCAAGGCTCTGTTCAGGATCATGTTAATTAACCTTCCCAAGTCCCTTTGACTAGTAAAAATATACAAACTGAAAAATAAAATTAACAGTTTCTCCTCATCTAAGCCATACCTTGCATTTATGATGCATGTATCTAGATGTAATCATGTAATTCCAGGGGTCTAATAAAGAAAAATTAGAAATATTTATATGGATTGTCAACAAATTATTTGAATAATTGCACATATAATATAAGACCTTCTGTAAAAGCAGATTTTTTTTCTGTAAATACAGTTTTTTTCTTTGATTTCTCTCATGAGTGTTTTTCTGTTTGTTTGTTTTCCACTTCTGGTTTTAGGGATTCTATCCAGCATTGCCATGTGATAAGGCCAGGACAGGTCTCCTGCCCCAGAAAGTCTGTTACTGGCCTCTGCATTAGCCTTTGCACTCTTTCCATTTGCCATTACTACTGCTCCATTAAATATTCATCTTCTGCTGTGCAGCCAAAGGAATGGTTCCTCCATAGTGATTGCTAAGTAATAAGGAATTTACTATGATCTTTCCAGCAATGGGAGACTTCCCTCAATATCCCTAAACAAAACTAAACCAATCCCAAAGACAATAATTGTTGACATATACCTTAAAAAACAAAAAGCCTCAGAAACCTAGAAACACAGCAATTAAACCGAAATAAAAAAGGAAAGAAGAAAGGTTTGTGGTTTAGAGGCAGAGTAATCCTGATTAACTGTGAAATCAGCTGAGATAGCTGTGGAAGAGAAACTCTCCTTGATGCTCAGAAGCCTCAGTCTCTACTGTGAAGGCTCTGAACTGATTGATGTAGTGACAGGGCTCATTGCCATGGTCTCAAATTTTCCACTCTCTGTGTGCCATTTAAAGACTTCCTAGGTAGCTGTCACTGCCAACCAAATCTCACCAAAAGGACATAAAGCAAACAAAATTTGCTTTACAAATCTGAACTACTGTGTCACTGTTGCAGGCAAGTTTCTCGAGTTCAGACTGTCAAGGTGGCTCAGAGCAGTGCAAGCTGCCCCGTTCTTCTTGCAGGTACCCAAAACCCTTGTGAATATGAGCACTGTTTGCCAGCAAACACAGGCGAGCATATTTTGCGCCACTACACTGAACAGTGCATTTTTTGCTATGTTCATCATAGAGGTGCCACAGGGGATGACAGGGAATGTAACTTAGATCTCTGCCAAATTTTCACTGTACTGATGGTGCTAACCTTGTGGCCTATGAGCTTGGTATGACTCACCATAACAATTATTTTGACCTATAACCTGCTCCTGGTAGCTTCAGTCCTGGGAACCATGAAGGAGGCAGTGGCAGGTCTAGTGAAATATTTGTTAGTGGCAGCATACTCCCAGCCACTATCTTTCCAGCGCAATTCAGGAGTACTCCAGGACGTGTATACATATATGCAGCACACACTGCACGTGAATTAAGCCTAGGACTCAGATCCAGGCATGTCTCCATGCACCAATTTTTCAGTCATCTTGGGCATATTTATCTCTTCCACTGCCTTTGGAAGACATTCTGGGTTTTGTTTGGCCAGAAAATCTGGCCATCAGTTCCCTGTGGTGTCCCTCAGAATTAAAAAAGCAAAAGCTTAGGTGCCTGACTGTGGTGAATCTAAAATAAGACCACTCTAAGAATCTCATGCATGACTGAGGACTATGTTAATGCACGTATTACATTAATTAATGATGTCTTCAGTCCTAACTCTTTGCCATGCACAGCAACCAGTAGACTGACCTTATCTATCAGCACTGGAAGAATCACAGAGGCTCAACTCCAGCATTTTATTGACTGTAAATATCAAATCACACTAATGAAAAATGTACTGTACCTTACAGTTCTGGCAGTGCACATCCTACTGTGCAGCAGTGAGTGCAGTTGTGTTATTTTGTTAGTCCTTGAGCTTCAGAGATAACCACTTGTGTCATTGATCTCAAGGTCCACAATGCTTTAAAGCAGAACCTCAGACTTAGGAAATAAGCAGCATAGATTGCTTTACTACTTCTAGTTTATTTATACAAACTTTTTGATATGAAGTGATCTTACAATCTAAATCTTATCATTGTGACCATTGTCCTGGCTTCATCAGAAATGAAGGCAGCAAAGAATCTTAAGAGAACTTACAAAATATTAAAATTCAAATATTTTTCCTTATTTTTGAGAGAAATGTGAATATGAACATTGCGACTGTGAATTCATAGAAACATTTATGTTCTAATTAGCTCATCACTTGTAAAACTTTGGCTTGGCATTTTAATTTGGTTATAACAGTGTGTTTTTTTCACATAGCAACAATTCGGGGGAGATTCCAAGGCTATCCCTGAGAAAAGCTGCATTTCCTGAAATACAGGCATGACTGCTGCTAGCGTGGCATAGACTGGTTTTGCCTGGGCTTGATCTAATGTATAGCCAAAGTGCCTTTCAGTTGTTAAGTACCCTTATTTCAACACTAGTTCTACATGGAGGGTCACACAAGTCTGTAAAGGAAGTGTCTAGGACTTTGTAGTGTATGTTACAAAATACAGGTAACTTAATGACCTGTACATATATATTTGCTATACGGTTTAACATATATAGTTCCTTCCCTTTTGCAACAGGTGGCCTGCATTTTGGCTATCAAAAATGCTGCAATGTTCAGGAAGAAATCAGTTTGGAGTGCTACTAAAATGGAAAAATATTTTGGTCTTAGTACACTGTTGTAGCAGTTCTTTCAGTTTCTTAAATTGTAGGCAACTGTTTTGGTGAAGTCCTGTTTTCTGAGAAGCGAGCGTTAGTATGCAGGTTAGCAACCTCAAAGGGGCCATGTTTTTCTTATAGCAATCCCTCCTCCAGGAATTGAACGTGAACAGTGTATGTATATCGTAATGGAAAACACCTTGTGTGTCGAAGTCTGAACTGGTCTTCTGTCCTACCTCCAAAGGCTATGAGGACCCTCATAGTTTTCATATCTCCAATAACCTCGATGCCCCTTCTGTAGCTGAGGTACCTCTCCCTGGCTCTTTAAGAAAGGCTATGACTCCTGCACAGAAATGTGTATTAACTGATGCCCCTTCTGTAGCTGAGGTACCTCTTGCTGGCTCTTTAAGCAAGGCTATGACTCCTGCACAGAAATGTGTATTAACTGATGCCCTTTCTGTAGCTGAGGTACCTCTCGCTGGCTGTTTAGGCAAGGCTCTGACTCCCGCACAGAAATGCGTATTAAACTTAGCGGCAGACGTGTGTGTGGTGGAGGGGACGGGGGCACCAGACATGCTTTACTTACAGCTCGACGGTGCTAGTGAGCGTTTACAGGAGCTGACAATCACCTCATCAAACGCACCATCCTACTGCAACACCTGTCAACCGCCACGCAGCCCCGCGGGCGCGTGGACGCCAACTGCCACCGGTACCCCGGGCTCTTTGGCGCCAACCGCCGCCCGCAGGCGCTCGAGCTGTGTGCCCTGCAGGGCTGTACTGCCCCAACAACCCCACTAGCTTCCCCCTCTGCTCACCATCTCTCCCCGCTTTGGGGCCAAGCCTTCCCTGCGGCTTGTACCGTGGCAGAAACGCCGGAGTCCTGGCGTCCAGGTCCATCCTGCCTCCGCAAGGCCGCAGCATACAGGTCCTCCCGGCCCGGGGCTGGCAGCCTCCCTTGCGGCTCACCCGGCTCTCACACGAGGCCCCCACACTGCCTGCGGGTGGTGCTCCCTCCTCCAGCCCTCCCCTACGCGGCCGACTGCATTTCCCCTCAGGCCGAGGGCACTCGCCTCCACCGTTAGAGGCATCATTCTCCAGCCAGGCCCTCACCGCGTGCAGAGGAGAGACATCACTCATCCCAAACCTGCCTCCTGACCTTTCCTCAGTGCCGTTTGCTTCCCATTGCCAGGCAGCGTTCAGCAGACAGAGCAAAAGCGCATCACTGCAGCAGAGGTGAGTGCTGAGTCCTCCATACTGGGCACGCCAGGGCTGCACAGGGGCAGACAACAGCCCGCTGCCACCCCAGCCTGTGCCAGCCTTCCTTGCTTTGAAGAAGTGCTCAAGGCCACAAGCACTGCCTGCTCGAACCCTTGGTGAGAGTCTGCTTCCACAAAGGGGCTATGATACATGACAGCCATGTACCAGGGCCTTCCCCACAGGCCAGGCAGGCCTCACTGTGAGGGAACTCCCCCAGCCCAGCAGGGAGAAGTGGGTCTGTGATCTCTGCTGCTCTGCCACACTGGGAACAGTGCCAGGAAGCATGTGAGTAAGCAGCCAGTTTAATCTGGAACGCTTTAATCAGGTATTCACAGAAGCAGAGGATCAGTTAATAGGGTCTCTTGTGATCATATAGTCTCACCCTTATACAGCACAAGAGTTTATGCAACGAGTTGTGGACTGGTTTGCTCCCAGTGTGATGGGCTTTGAAATAGCCTACAGTTTCAGAAAGTGCTGGAAATAAGCAAGCTGCTTTACTGTTCCCATCCAGTTAGTAGCTCCTCTTGGAAAACTGCTCAGGGCAGAGTCAAACATTTTGTTTAATGGGTGAAATAAAGCTAGAGAAATATAAACCAGAGTGTCGTGGTTTAAACCCAGTCAGGTAACTCGTTCACTCACTCCCCCCCTTCTTTCCCTCCCCCTACTCCCGGAGGGACGGAGAGGAGAATCAAAAAGAATGCAACTCTCACGGGTTGAGATAAGAACAGTTTAGTAACTAAGGTATAACACAAATCACCACCGCTGCTACCAATAATAACAATGATAAAGGAAATAACAAGGGAAGAGAATACATCACCTCACCACCAGCCAACCGATAACTCGCCCCCCCCAGCCCAACCAAGCCCTGACCTACACCTCCTCCAACCCCACAGTCTCCCAGTCCTTCCGGCTAACTCCCAGTTACCTCCTGGGCATGACTTGCTGTGGTATGGAATACCTCTTTGGCTAGCTTGGGTCAGGTGTCCTGTCTCTGCTTCCTCCCGGCTTCCCCTCCTCCTTGGCAGAGCATGAGGCTCACAAAGTCCTTGTCCAAACCAAAACATCCTTGTTATCAGCTCTGTTCCAGAGCTGAAAGTCAAAACACTGCACTGCACCAGCTACCAAGAAGGAGAAACATGACTGCTACTGCTGAACCCAGGACACCAGAGATATAAAGTGGCTGGTGAGACGAATTATGAAGATAACCACCTGGTGCTCCATGTCTGAAAGTCTAACCACCTTTACTGAATTTTTCCAGCAGTCATTAGGTTAAATTCAACCTGTAACAATGAATTTCCTGGGCTTGTTCACTGGCAGCCAGCTCCTGCCAAGGACTTCTACATTCAGGCAGTGGACATATTTCGTACCTGTCATATGAGGTGAACACCTGCTGCCTCTGGCTGCCCATTTCTGTAAGGCTGCTGATGTTCAGTATTTGTTTTTTTCTTAGTGTCTAAGGATGCCTGAGAGATCAAGGCCGCTTCCAGTCAGGTAATAAAAAGTTAGCCCTTGCCCCAGAGAGCTTATGAAGCAGAATCTTCAGAGAGGGAATAAGGACTTTTTTCCCTGTTCCTGCTGACCTACAGAGTTTTGCTGAAATGACATCCCACTGTGATACAGACAGGAGCAAGGAGCATAAACATGTGGCTCTAGCAAGATGCAACTGCTTTATTGTGGCCAGCCCCAGGAATGACTGTGACCTTCAGCACTGCCTCCAAGGACATTCAACATTAGC